AATTTTTGGTGGCTCTCCATTACAAAATAGAGTCCTACCATTGAAGGCTCTCTAAAGCAGCTCACGGTGGTTGTGTCCATTCTTACCTCTGGCCATTTCCATTCCCTTCTTTTCCTCACTTCTTCTAAGGGAGAAACATATTTATTTCATTCTTATAAGCACTGTGCGAGGTTGGGCGTGGTGGCTCAAGCCTGTAGTCCCAGCACTTTGGGAGGCTGAGACAGCCTAGGAGTTTGAGACCAGCCTGGGCAATAAAGAAAGAAAGAAAGAAAGAGGAAAAGTCTAGCAAAACGAAATCATTCCTCCTTCCTGGATAGCTGTCAAATCCTGCCTATCCTTTAAGGTTCAGTGAAAGAGAGAAGTAAATTTTATTGAGCACTTACTATCACAGAGCTGAATGCTGTACATAACGACTCACTTAATATTCCAACAACTCCGCAGTTTAGGTATTCCCATTTTAAGTTTACAATAGAGAAATCCTAGGCCTGGAGATATTAGTTTAGATGCCTGAAAATGAGTGAGTGAGCTAGGATCGAGATTCTAGTTTATTTGGCTGTAAAAGCCCTTGCTCTTTTTAAGCATTACATGAGTCTTACAAATCTCCACTATTCTGGCCACTGAGGTTGAATTGTAAATAAAATTTTATAAATAAAACAATTTTAAAGATCATTGCAGCTTATACCTCTATGACCTATAGTGTTGAATGTAGGTTATTATCCAAAAGCAAAAAAAAAAAAAATTGTGTTTTCTAGGCAATCCAGAAATAAGGACAGAATTGTAGTTTGAGAATAGTTCCGAAGATGTCTTAGTTTGGGATTTGTAGAGCAAACACAGACGAAAAGGAGGTCAGAATGATGATGAGATGGTTGGAAGAAAGAGGAAGCATGCAGATAGGTCTTTAAAAATCACTAAAATTTCCTCTAGATTAGTGATTTTACTTACAAAGTACTTTCCTTGAAAGTGTAGCTTTAAAAGAAAGAGAAGCATTGGATTCCTGAGTTACTGGATTTCATGTCTGTAAGTAAATGCTTTATTGTCATAAGATAGCTTTCTTATCTAAACTGAGAGGGAGCAAATACTTTGTCACTTTTTTACAACAATTTTTAAAATTTAAGTATAAAATACGCATTTAAGTATAACATATACACAAATCCTAAGTAAAAATAGCTTGCCTCATTATCAAGAAGTGAACATATGTAATCAGCCAGGAAACAGAATATTACTGGAATTAAAGAAGTCTTTCTAAGTACCTCCTCCCAATGATTATCCCTTCATTTTCCCCAAAGATAAACAATTTCCTGATGTCTAAGACCATACATTACTTTTGTTTGCTTTTCAACTTTTCATTATTCTTTGTTATTCTATATATTCTGTGTTTGATTTCTTTTGCTTAGCATTATGTTTGCAAGCTTCATCTATGAACATGTCAATTTGTTCATTTTAATTATATAAAGTATGTGATTATATAAAATGCTATAATTTATTCATTTTTTTCAATAGTGGACAATTTGCATTGTTTCTAGTTTTTGGCTATTAAGAACCATGTGGCTATGTGTATCCTTGGATATGTCTTTTGTAAACATGTGCATGCATTTCTGTTGGACATATACTCTACCTAGGAGTAGAATTGCCAAGTCATAGAACTTGCAGTGTATCTTCAACTTTGGTAGATACTGACAATTTTTCAAAGGAATTGTTTCATCTACATAATTTGTGGGGCCCAGCAAGAAGTAAAAATGTAGGCCCTCTTGTTCAAAAAGCAAGAAGAAGCCCTATTAAAGATACTTAAATATAAAGCTTTTTCATTTCTTTTGCAATCTCTTGACTTGCCATGATTTTTTACTTGCTATTTAGCGTAGTAAAAGAAATCATTAAAAATTATTAGCACAAATTTTGCCATTGATCTTGCAAAGGTAGTTTTAAATACAAATTTAGAAGGGCATTAAATGCGTATGTGGAATCACCAAAATAGCACAATTTGTATTTCATAGCTTGTACATATTTATTTTATTCTTACAAGAAGTGTGGAAAAGTCACCCAAAACTAAATCAATTATTTTTATTTCACCTCTTGATACATGCAAACTATACCAACACTCTACTTTCAGCTTATTGCAAACGAAAGCCTGAAAACAAAAGGAAATATGATTGCCATGTCTTTCCCTTTCTTTCTGTGTCTTCATTTTGAGTGCAAGTGGTTGACATTTATAGGGAAAGAACACAAGTAAAAAAGGATGTGACAGCTTGTAATCCCAGAACTTTATGAGGCCACGACTGGAGAATTGCTTAAGTCCAGGATCTCAAGACCAGCTTGGGAAACACAGCAAGACCCCATCTCAAAAAATTTAAAAAATTGGTTGGGCATGGTGGCATGCACCTGTAGTCTTAGCTACTCAGGAGGTTAAGGTAGGGGGAGCCCTTGAGCCCAGGAGTTCGAGGCTGCAGTGAGCCAGTGAGCTATAACTGCACCACTGCCCCCCAACCTGGGCAACAGGACAAGACCCTATCACAAACAACAACAACAACAACAAAGTTGTGAAAAGATTCCTTGGTCATTCACGTTTCTTAAAACGTCATTGCCTTCTTTCTGCATTCAAAGTGGAAGTTCTCTTTGGTAAGGAAAGTTAGGCCTCTTGGGGCTGTCAGTGCCTTCCCTTCCCCTTACTAAGTCTCAGGTGTGACATGCTTATCTTTTACTAGCTTTAAGTCTAGCTTAACTCCCGTATATTGCAGGTCCAACAGACTTCTGTGCTCATGGGGCATCCTAAATGCTTAAATGCAAATGATTGGCAGGAAACAGTGGACATTCACATTGTGCATACCTCTTCTGTACATGTTTATTTTCCATTGTACTTTGAGACTTCACTTATGAAACACACATTCAAAGGCCAAATTATTAAGAATATCAAAATGGTGACAGCTGATTAAACCAAGTGAAGTGTCCTTCTGACCTTTGAAGTCAGCTCTTGTTTGAGTTCTATATATTCCAGTCTTGTCAACACTTGATATTATCAGTCTCTTAATTTTAATCATTTGGTGGGTGCTTAAAGATATCTCATTTTGGCATTTATTTACATTTCTCTGATCATCTTTTCATATGTTTATTAGCCACTTGGCTGCGTATGTGTGTGTGTGTGTGTGCGTGTGTGTGTATTAGGTTCTTGTTCCAGTCTTTTGTCTATTCTTCTATTGACTGTCTTTTTTTGGTCCAGATTTGTAACAATCGTTTTTATATTCTGAAAAGGAGCCTTATGCAGGTTACATGTATAGCAGATATCTTCCCCTACTCTATGGCTTCCTTTTCACTCTCCTATGGTACATTTTGATTACTAGAAATTCCTAATTTTAATATAATTTAATTTGTCAGTCTTTTTCTTTGAAGTTAAGTGCTATTTTCTATCCAGTTTTAGATATATTTGCTTTCCTCCAAATCATATTCTCCTGTCATTTTCTTTAAGTTTTATTGTTTTCCCTTTCACATTTAGATCCACAATCTACCTGAAATTTATTTTTTGTAACTGGTAAAAGGTAGAGGATCAAACTTTACTGATGCTGTTTTTAGTCACTGCAAAGTTGGGTTTCCAGTTCAGCTCCAGTTTGTCCTCTTAATAAATTCTATTATTATGGTGGAGCAGAGAAAGAGGGGGATGGCTTCAGGTCAGGATGGGAGGGAAAATGGATTGCATTCCCAGTGTCATCTGAAGTGAAACTTTTCTCAGATTTTTCTCAACAAGCTTTTTAAGTCCTCTCACATGGAGAGTAGCTAAAGTGATAGAAGTCATGTCCCATTCACCTATCCACTCAACAAATTAAAATGAGGGGGCAAGAACAGTGGCTCACGCCTGTAATCTCAGCACTTTGGGAAGCCAAGGTGGGTGGATCACTTGAGTCCAGGTTCGAGACCAGCATGGGCAACATAAGAGAAATTCTGTCTCTACAAAAAATACAAAAAATTAGCCGGGCGTGGTCACCTGACCTCAGGAGGTCGAGGCTGCTGTGAGCTGAGATAGCGCCACTGCACTCCAGCCTGGGCGACAGACTGAGACTCTGTCCCAAACAAACTAACAAAAACAAATATAAATGATATGCTTGTAAAATGTTTGTAAAGTCATAAAATATAAAGTTTTCTTTTTCTTGTCATTATGGAAGTGAGGTTAGTTCTTTTGGCAAAAGCTTCTGAGAACGTCAAGTTTAAGGATTTAGTTTCAGAACAGAGTGTTCCACAGCTGTTCTAAATTCCACTTGCTAAGTGTTTGGGTGCTGTGGTTAAGGTGAGGACTGGGCAATGTGGGTAGATCAAAGTAAACTCATGAAAACAATTCCAAGGGACCCTAGGATGACACTACTCTGGGTATGTCTACATCTCTTTATATTGGAATGATAACAATATCATAAATATTCACTCTAATCCATTGTATTTGCTACTGTCATCTCTCTCTTAGAGTAGTACAACTTTATTCCCTTTTCTCTGCCTCTGGTCATGGCCCTCTCCAATGTATTCCACTTCTGCATAAGAATGATCTGGCCTTTGTTTAGCTATCCAGTTTCATTCTTTGCCCCCTGTCCCCTATACCAGCTGAGCTTCCGCGTCCCCCCTTTTGCAGACGTCGGTCCCTTGAGAACCAGCCTACATCACTACTTTCTCTGGTTGGCTGCTACTTGCCTTTCAGGATTAAATATTACTTCATTCAGAAAGCCTGGTTTATAGAAAGTGCTCAATAAATATAAGTATTATTACTAAAAATAATAGAAGTAAAAATGCACCCTCAGTGTGGTTGAAAGAGTGGATGAATGAGATGGGTATTTGCGGAGTGGATGGGTGACTGGGACACGGCTTCTATCACTTTAGCAACTCTCCTAGGTGAGAGGGCTTAAAAAGTATGTTGAGAACAATCTGAGAAAAGTTTCACTTCAGATGGCGCTGGGAACGCAAACCGTTTTCTCTTCCTTCCTAACCCGGAGCTATCCCCTCTATCTCCGCCCCCCTGGAATTATTGAGGCGACGCAATCGACTCGCTCGGGCTTCGCCCGCCGACGTCGCTCGGCTTGTTGGGGCTGGGCTTTTCTTCGCGGAAGTAGGTAGGAGGTGGTTGCGGTCAGCTGAGTGTCCTGGGCTTGGCAGTGGCTGGTAGGGGTACTGTTGCCGCCATGGCCGATCCCGATTCCCGGTACCCTTGCTCCTCAATCGAGGACGACTTCAACTATGGCAGCAACGTGGCCTCCGCCAGCGTGCACATCCGAATGGGTAGGTTGTCCCCTCCCCAGTGCCTCTCAGCCGGTTGTCCGCTCTGATCGGCGTCTAGAGGCGGATTTCCGGTTTCAGAGGGCTCGCCGCCGCCTCCCGGGACTCACGGGGAGCACTCGCTGAGCTCCCGGCCCTCCTTCCCCGGGGATCAGAGAACGGGCGCCCTCCTCCGGGAGTCGGGAGAGGCGCTCCCTCCTTTCCTTCCTAGGGGTTGTGTGACGGCTCCAGGCCCTGGAGGCCTGCGGCTCCTCCCTGTGCGCTCCTGATCCCCAGCTGGCGCCAACGTGTGAAGGGGCTGACAGAAACCGTCACAGCCTTAATTTGGCATCTTGAAGTGAAAAGAAACGTGGTGGAAATGAGTTCATAGATCACTGTGACGTACACAGGAGTGGAATCCAAGGCCTGATATTTTTGCTTAGTGGGGTTCGGTATTACAGGTTTATATTTATCGTCCTGTGCTAGGCCGGACGCCCCCTGACTGCTCTATTTCCTCTCCGCAGGGCCCAGAATGCATTGAGTGTTAATGAGCAAGTTGCTGGACACAGAAGCGTACTGTGTCAGTCAAAATGCTGTTAAAGTTATTATATAGTAGCCAGTGGGCAGAAATGTTTAAATTTAACAATGCTGAGCTTCCTCTAAGTGGAAGTCATTGCCTGCTCTAGTTTGGCCATTCAATCACTTAAGCAGCCCCAGACTTTCAGCCTGTCTAGGCCGCTGGGACTTTTTCTGGAAAAGGAAAGATGATGCGCTAACAATTTTGGTGCCTAGAACTTGTTCTGGAAAAGGGAAGATGAAGATAGTTCTGATGCGCCAAGAATCTTGGTGCCTAGCATTTATATTTTTGGAATTGAATTTTGAAATTATTTTGGCAAGTGAGCTCAGCTTTTTAAAAAAGTTGTGGTAAAATAGAGGCAACATAAAATTTACCATCTTAACTATTTTTTTCTTTGTTTTGAGACGGAGTTTCGCTGTTGTTACCCAGACTGGAGTGCAATGGCGCGATCTCGGCTCACCGCAACCCCCACCTCCTGGGTTCAAGCAATTCTGCCTCAGCCTCCCGAGTAGCTGGGACTACAGGCGTGCACCACCATGCCCAGCTAATTTTTGTATTTTTAGTAGAGACAGGGTTTCACTTTGTTGACCAGGATGGTCTCGCTCTCTTGACCTCGTGATCCACCCGCCTCGGCTTCCCAAAGTGCTGGGATTATAAGCCTGAGCCAGCGCGCCCGGCCCATCTTAACTGTTTTTAAGTGTACAGTTCAGTAGTGTTAAGTACATTCACATGGTTCTACACTGTTAAAACAAAAACTTTAGACACATTAAATTTAACAGAGTTTGAGCAAAGAATGATTTGGAATTGGGCAGGTCCCGGAACCAGAATAGGTTCAGAGTGACGGGGGCTGCCGCTGGTGGGAAATTTATGGAGAGAAAAAGAAAAATGATGTACAGAAAATAGAAGTCAGGTACAGAAACAGTTGATTGGTTACAGTTTGCCTTTTGCCCTATTTGAACATGGTTTGAACACTTGGCCAACTTTGATTGGCTGAAACTCAGTGATTGGTTCAAGCATAGATTACTTCCTATTTACATATTCAATTAGGTTATAGTTCACTATATATGGAGAAACCCTAGGCTGAACTTAAAATAGCTAAAGGAATAGCTTTAGACTAAACTTATATAGCATCCGACATCCAGATTTTAATCTTACAAATCGGAAACTCTGTAGGTATTACAACTCCCCATTCCTTCCTTCCCCCAGTCCCTGGAACCATCATTTCACTTTCTCTCTCTGTGAATTTGGCTACTGTCGATACAATCACTATTTGTTTTTTGTGATTGGCTTATTTCAAGCAGTGTAATGTCTTCATATATCCGTATTGTGGCAATGTCAGAATTTCCTTTTTTTTTTTTGAGACAGGGTCTTACTCTGTCACCCACGCTGGAGTGCAGTGGTGAGATCACTGCTCACTGCAGCCTCTACCTTCTGGGCTCAGGTGATCCTCCCACTTCAGTCTCCCAAATAGCTGGGACTACAAGTACAAGTCACCATGCCTGGCTAGGTTGTTTGTATTTTTGGTAGAGATGAGTTTCACCATGTTGCCCAGGCCAATCTGAACTCTTGGACTCAAGCGATCCTCCCACCTTAGCCTCCCAAGATACTGGGATTATAGGCATGAACCACTGCACCTGGCTGCAGAATTTCCTTTTTAAGGCAGTAATATTACTTTGTATATATATACCAAATTTTGTTTATTCATCCATTGATGGACATTTGTGTTGCTTCTACTTCTTGACTGTTTTGAATAATGCTGTCATGAATATAGGTGTGCACATACCTCTTCAAGACCCTGCTTTAATTCTTTTGAATATATACCCAGAAGTGGAATCACTGGATTGTGTAGTAGTTCTATTTTTAATTATTTAAGGAACTGCCATACTGTTTTCGGTAGGGGCTACATCATTTTACATTCTCAGCAACAGTGCACAAGGGTTCGCCTTTTTCTACATCCTTGCCAATACATTTTGTTCTTTTATTTTTTAAAATGAAAGTAGCCATCAAATGAGTGTGAGGTGATATGTCTTTTATGTTTTGATTTGCATTTCTCTAATGATTTAATGATGTTGCACATTTTAAAAATATGCTTGTGCGGCATTTATACATCTTCTTTGGAGAAATGTTATTCAAGTCCTTTGCCCAATTGAAAAAAAAAAGACTTTATTTTTTTTAAAAGCAATTTTAGGTTTATAGCAAAATTTAGCAGAAAGAACAGAGTTCTTATATACCCTTTCTGCTTCAACCCAAGCCTCTTGCACTAATAATGTTCTGTCCCAGAGTGGTATGTTTGTTACAATCAGTGAATCTAGACTGATACCTCATTATCACTCGAAGACCATAGTTTACATTAAGGTTCGCTTTTAGTGTCGTACAGTCTATGAGTTTGACAAATGTTTAATGAGATGTATCCACTATTATAATATCATACAGAATAGTTTCACTGCCTTAAAAAAAATTCCTCTGTGGTCTGCCCATTCATCCCTCCCTTCCTGCTGATCTTGTATTGTCTCCATAGTTTTGTCTTTTCCCAAATATTGTATAGTTGAAATAATTATATAACCTTTCGGATTGGCCTTTTTCACTTATAATATGCATTTAAGGTTTTCTACATGTCTTTGCATGGCTTGATAGCTCATTTTTCTTTAACACTAAATATATTCCATTGTTTGGATGTACTACAGTTTATTCCTTCACCTACTGAAGGAAATCTTGGCTGCTTCAAGTTTTGTCAATAAAGCTGTTTTGTAGATGTCCACATGCAGGTTTTTGTGTGACCATAAGTTTTCAACTCATTTGGGTAAATACCAAGCAGCACAATTGCTGTGTTGTATAGTAAGAGCATGTTTAGTTTCATAAGATATCACCAAACTGTCTTACAAAGTGGCTGTACTATTTTGCACTTCCACCAGCAATGAATGAGAGTTCTTGTTGGTTCCACATACTCGCCAGCATTGGATGATGTCAGTGTTTTGGATTTTGGCCATTTAACAGGTGTGTAGTGGCATCTCCTTTTCGCTTTAACTTGTAATTCTCTAATGATTTATAATGTTCAACATCCTTTCATATACTTATTTGCCATCTGTTGTTTTTATTTTGTTGTTTCTTGTTCTTCTTATTTTTTCTTCCTTTTTCTTTTTCTTTTTTTTCAAGACAAAGTATCACTCTTTCTCTCAGACTGGAGTACAGTGATACAATTACAGCTCACTGCAGCCTCAATGTCCCAGGTGCAGACGATCCTCCCACCTCAGCCTCCTGAGTAGCTGGAACTACAGGCACATGCCATCATGCCTAGCTAATTTTTTTTTGTATTTTTAGAAGAGACGGGGTTTTGCCATGTTGCTCAAGCTGATCTCAAACTCCTAGGCTCAAGTGATCCAAAGTGCCAGAATTTCAGGCATAAGCCACTGTGCCCAGCCAATCAAATGAGAAAAGGGCAGTCTCTTTAACAAATGGTGTTGGGAAAATTGAATATCCACATACAAAAGAATGAAATTAAACCCTTACCTTATACCATATACAAAAATTACCTCAAAAAAGATCAAAGACCTAAATGTAAGACCTAAAACTATAAAACTCTTAAAAAAAATAGGAGGACATTGGATTTGGTAATGGATTTCTTAGACATGACATTAAAAACAGGCAACAAAAGTAAAAATAGATAAATTGGACTACATCAAAATTTAAAACCTCTGTGTATCAAAGAACACAACAGCCAAAAGGCCTATAAAATGGGTGAAAATATTTGCCAATCATATATCCTGTAAGGGGCTAATATCCAGAATACATAAAGAAATTCTGATTGGGCACAATGGCTCACGCCTGTAATCCCAGCACTTTGGGAGGCTGAGGCAGGCGGATCACAAGGTCAGGAGTTTGAGACCAGCCTGACCAACATGGTAAAATCCTGTCTCTACTAAAAATACAAAAATTAGCCAGGTGCTGGCATGCACCTGTAATCCTGGTTATTCAGGAGACTGAAGCAGGAGAATTGCTTGAACCCAGGAGGTAGAGGCTGCAGTGAGCCGAGATTGGGCCACTGCACTTCAGCCTGAGCAACAGAGGGACCTTTTCTTTTTTCTCAAAAAAAGAAAAGAGAAAATGAAATCCTACGATTCAATAACAAAATAAAACCTGATTTTAAAGTGAAGAAAGTCAAAATAATAAGACAAAATACATACTGAGAGAAAATATTTGCAAAAGGTATACCTAATTAAGGACTGTTATCCAAAATACACAAAAACTCTTAAAACTCTACAATAAGAAGACATATATTTATCTGCAAAAGACTTGAACAAATACCCCACTAAAGAATATTCACAAGGTTGGGTACAGTAGCTCACACCTACAATCCCAGCATTTTGGGAGGCCAAGGTGGGAGAATTCACCTGAGCTTGGGAAGTTGAGGCTGCAGCAAGCTATGATTGTGCCACTGTACTCCAGCCTG